GGCTCTCTTTTATTTATTTATTTATTTATTTATTTATTTGATTCCTCAGTGTTTGCTAAACGTTATGTAATTTATTAGTCGGTATATAATACAGCATGCGGTGTGTGCCATGCCTCATCTTATTCGTTTTTGTTAAAGGTGCTGTATGTAGGATTGACACCGAGTGGTTGAACTAGGTATTGCAGTCCAAATTCAAAATATTGGAGAGGGTTTTTTCACCCGGCCCCTCCTCCTCAGACTTGACGCACACGCAGGTTGCCAGATTGACGACACCAACAGGAACGAGCGCACTTGACGATGAATGGAATGAAATGCGCTGTGTTTTCCGCCAACTGGCAACCCGGGGTGCCGAATACAATTGGGTAAACTGGCAGTGGAGTCTTAAAAAATTAAAGGTGTGTAGATGTATGTAAGCAAAACAGTAACAACAAAATCGCGAATTCGAAAGTGAAACATCCGAAGCCCGCGGCTTAGCACAGCAAAAGAGAAACTCCCATTCGCAAAATTCAAATCCCAAATAATACTACTGATGATAAAGAACGGGTTGAATGTTAACCACTTTCGTTTCCATATAACTATAAACTATGATAAAAGTTCATCAGCATGCATTGAATAATCCCATGTTGTAGCGCAAAAAAATATATAATTTGCAACCAAATCATGTGCGACCAGCTGAGAAAGTTAGTTGCAAAAGAGCGACCAGTGGGAAGAATGAGTCTGGAGCCCTGTACATTACTGTAATAATAAAGGTTCAAAATAGCTACAAACTGTTAAGTTGGTATGTATTTTTAGATATAATAATCAACACTCAAATTTAAAATAGTTGTTTACAAACATTTAAATTGCGCATAAGGCAGTTTTTTTATAGACTTTTAACTAATTGTTTCTACTCAAGCGGTTGAGCTTGGCGAAGCCCGTCGGTGAGACGGAGCACTCTGATTGGCTGTTTAGCTGAGCGAATCAGCTTAGCCACCTGCTGTATGGAGAGTAACTTCCTCTCAGACGCAGACTCAACAGACGCAGACAATGTGAGACGGCAGTACATTTCCTTTCATTGCCGCTAGTTCTTTGATGTTTGTTTGGTATGTCTGAGCCTTAAGGACAAACGTCCAGTCATTGACCCTTAACACACACAGGTAAACGTGCGATAAACTGTTTGATTTGTTCAGTCTGTTATGGCGACCGTGTCTTGTGCAGATGTCACACCAGCATAATCATACTGAGATTTTACACAGTAAGAGCTGAGAGAACATTTTCAGTTTAAGTAGGTCTTCAGGAGAATGTTAGGTGGTTTTCCAGAAAACTGATTGATTGAAAGGCTATCAGTTTTAAAGAAGCCCTGTATGATTTAAAGGGACAGTTCACCTAAAAATGAAAATTCTTTCAACATTTACTCGTCCTCAAGTTGTTCCAAACCTGTATGAAATTCTTTCTTCTGCTGAACATAAAAGAAGATTTTTTTTAAGAATGTGGATAACCAAACAATTGATGATCCCCATTGACTTTCATAGTATTTTTCCATGAGGGTGAGTAAAGTTAAAGTATCACAGAATTTTCATTTTTGAGTGAACTATCCTTTAAGAAAACTCACAGCCAACATCATAAACCATAGACAACCAGCTGACTGTCCTGACCCATGTCTAATTCATTCCCTCTTGTGTCTGTAGACTATGGAGCTGAAGATGCGGTTATGTGTGGCGCTGCTCTCTCTGAGTCTGTGTCTGGGCCTCATGGGGTGAGGGCACAGGAGGAGGCCGATGACATGGAGATGGACGTGGAAGATGCCATCGATGACATGCAAGAGGAAGATGTTGAGGAAGAAAAAGCCCCCAGTCCCCCGCCAGTGCCCACGGTTAGAGCGTTACCTGCTCATACTGCGGCTGATTGTGAAATGTGCTTTACCTAGACAACACACCAGGATCTTCATGCTTAAATGTAGATCTCTGTTCATTCTGCTGAACTGTCACCCATGTGTTGATCCAGGGACAGAGGCTAGTGGCGTTCAGTAACCGTCTGAGCGACCTAAACCAGCTCATAACCACCGCAGCGCTATACCTTAAGCTCAAAATAGCATCCACTTCTTGAGATTTCTTGAGAACAACGAGACTTGATGCTTGATGGGAAGTTATAATTGAGATTTAGCCAGAGCAGCGGTAGTCTGTGTTTGTTTGAGGTATTTGATCTGCCAATAATTAATCATGTCACTTAAAGGGCAAGTTCACATAAATTAAATTCCGTCCAGATTTACTGTCCCTCATGTCATTCCAAACCTGACTTTATTTCTTCCCTGTAACACAACTCTCTAATATAAAATAGTATTATGCTGGTGCAACGAGGTTAACATCTTCCCCAAACGTCTTTATTGAAGGTGACGTATAAAGCTCCAGAGCCGATGGGAGAGCACTACTTTGCCGAGTCATTTGATAAAGGAACACTTCAGGGGTAAGATGTCTATTATCCTCACAACAGAGAGATCATATATTGAATATGCTTGTCATAAATACACTGATGTTCAATAGTTTGGGGTCAATAAGACTTTTAAAAATATTTTTGAATATTTTTACTATTTAAAATAACTGCTTTCTATTTGAATATATGGTCAAATGTAATTTATTTCTGTGATCAAAGCTGAATTTTCAGCATCATTACTGCAGTCTTCAGTGTCACATGATCTTCAGAAATCATTCTAATATGCTGATCTGCTGCTTAAGAAACATTTCTGATTATTAATAGTGTTGAAAACCGTTGTGCTGCATAATATGGTTTGTGAAAATTGTGATCCACTTTTTCAAGATTCTTTGAATAGAAAGTTCATAAGAACAGAATTAATTTGGAATAGAAATATTTTGTAACAAATGTCCTACAGTCACGTTTAGTCCGATTAATGCTGCTAGGCTAAATACAATGATTAATGCCTTTCAAAACAAAACAAAACAAAAATCTTATCAACTACAAATTTTTGAACAGTTGTGTATATCATTTGACAATATTTGTTATAAATATGAGCAAAAAGAGCCTTTGTTTGTGAAGTATTTTTCTAGATTGTTTTTTTCCCCCCATCTAGATGGGTTTTATCCCAGGCCAAGAAAGAGGGCATTGATGAGGACATTGCAAAGTATGATGGTAAGTTTCATGTCCCATTTCATTTCCTGTTCATCTAAAGTCCAATTACTCGTCTAATTACTAATTTGTAATCGTAAGAAAAGGTGTGGATACCTGAATGATTTGTTCAGCATACAAACAATTAAGACCTAACCTATGAAGAAAAAAAAATAAATATATATATTTATATATCACAGAACAATGTTCTTGTCAATGTTGTGTGTTAATTCAGATTTTTTTTTTTTGTTAGTTTGAGCTTGAAATTACCCCAAAACTTCAAAACTAAGATGCATTTAATATGAAGTGGTTTGCAGGCAATACAAGAAGTGAAGGTGTGTGAGATGATCATGAGGTTGTGGTGTGTTATTTTGTGTGTAGGTAAGTGGGAGGTTGAGGAGATGAAGGACACTAAACTCCCGGGTGATAAAGGTCTGGTGTTGAAATCTAAAGCTAAGCATCACGCCGTCTCTGCTCTCCTACTGCGACCTTTCACCTTTGACACCAAACCACTCATCGTCCAGTGAGTATTCGTGTCTGCTCTTGACCTGTCCATATGAAATGAGTATAAAGAAAATATTGTAGTTAAAATTTTATGAAGTAAGTGCGAGTTGGAAATTGTCAGCAATCTCATGGCGAAGTACTTAAAACTTGTGTTTTCATGTGGCCAGTATTATAGTACTTTGGCATTGCCTGAAAATGTCATGTTTCGTATAAAGCTCAACTCGAGACCAAAATTAAACCATATACGCAAATGATCAAAAACCAACAATGGCAAAGCCTTAAGTAAAATAATAGTAATTGTGAGCCATGTTTCCTCAGGTATGAGGTGAACTTCCAGACTGGCATTGACTGTGGCGGCGCTTATGTTAAACTGCTGTCTCAAACCCCTGATCTTGACTTGGTAAGATGGTCTATATGTTCATTGTTCTGGTGATAATATAAATATCACCGTATGATGCATCTCAAGAGTTCCTGCTATAGCTGCCCTGAAAATGTTTTACACTTTATAGAAAACTAACCTAGACTCTCAATTTACTGAAATGTGAAGATGTGGCATAAGCGTATAAACTCTCAGGCCCTGTTTCTACGAGCTATTAGATGCATTTTTGGTGATCCGATTACAAGTGGTTAGCTGAGATGCATTTCTGTTTGCACATTGTATTAACCCTGTTAAAGCCTGACATGAAGTAACAGTCAGAAAAAAATCGAATTTTATTAGTTTAGATTATTTTTTTTTTAAATCAAAAAAAGTTTGCATATGTGTTTGAGTTTCATTGATATGGCTCATATAGTATAATATAGTGAGAATATGGAGCTCACACTCAAGGAGCAAAAAACATTTATTCAGAAGCCCAAACCGAGCAAAAACATGCAATTTGGTGCAAATGCTGATATTTATATGGCCAAAAAAGAGATTTAGAGATGTACAATTAAATGTTCCTCAAAAGCCTCTCGTTATCATATTTGATTATTGCATTTTAAAATTTTTCTGAAAATGTTGTATGGATAATCAAATAAACCTTAAGTTGCTTCAGTAAGTGTTTATCTTGAAATACTACTAACAATATAAAACTATTTGGTAAGACTTGTCTTTTTTTATATAAATTCTGTTGCAGGAGCAAGATATATTTATTTTTAAATCCATGCATGACCAAGTTGTGTATACAAGGTGTCGTATTGGACATACAGGTGCATCTCAATAAATTAGAATGTCGGAATTACTGAAATGAAGTTTTCCACGACATTCTAATTTATTGAGATGCACCTGTACTAGAGTAACTCGTGGACATTTATTGATTGGTGAAGAAGCACCAAAATGTCAATATTGCAGGACTCACTTGACAGTGAAACGTGCTTTTGGTCTGTCCAATATTTAATGTCATGAGACAAAGGTTATTATCAGGACAAACTCTTAAGGACTTGTTTTATAAGGTGGACCCAGAAAAACTTTTACAATTTCTTTCAAAAGTCAATTTAAACAATCTTTTATAGAATTTTATGTGCAATACTTATAATTGTTTTTATTAATTTATTTTTATTATATTTTGTGTACAACTATATTGTTTTTCTAATGTATAATCTTTGCTATGAAATAGCCTGTGAAGTTGATGTGGCAATAAACTTAAATGAAACCGTATTAACTAACATTACGCAATATTTTTTGCAAAATGTATTATCTTACGTCAGTGTTGTTACTAGTTAATACATTAACCAATGCAACAAATGAGACCTTATTATAAAGTGTTACCAGTTGTTCATGTGTTTATTACATGCAATCTGTGTGATTTGGTACAGTGCGGGGAAGTTAAATTAGCTTGTTTTGGTGTGCTTTCTCATGGCGCGTCCCAGAACGATCACGTTAAATGACTAGGTGATGTTACGCTGCAATCCAGGGCGCATTCACGACTGATTCTGACTGCCTCCACATGTGTTTTCAGTGATACAATCACAAAACGTTTTGGACCCGTTTATTGTATTTAATAAGTGCTGACTCTTGTGATATATGCAGAATCAGGTGACCTGTATTGCTGTGTATATACATAGTTGAATGATAGCATATGAGCTGGACACAACACTTAATGTATAAGATGCAATTGTATGTGTCCTCACCTCGCTCTTCCCTGTCTGTCCTCACAGGAGGAGTTTGTGGATAAGACTCCGTACACCATCATGTTTGGGCCTGATAAGTGTGGTGAGGATTACAAACTGCACTTCATCTTTAGACACAAGAACCCAAAAACCGGCGAGTTTGAGGAGAAGCATGCTAAGAAGCCCGACGCGGACCTGCGCACATACTACACAGACAAGAAGACTCACCTCTTCACACTGGGTAACAACACGCATCTCATCCTGCTTCCATAAGCGCCACCTACTGTCAGAGAGTACATTTACATGTTCATTCAGCCCGTCTGCTGTTTTTCTCACCGATCTGAACAGACAAATCTCATATGAAAGTTGGACAGAATTCCTCATGTGTGTCAATGTGTTTTCCTGCAGTGCTGAACCCTGATAACAGTTTTGAGATCCTGATCGACCAGACAGTGGTGAACAGCGGCAGTCTCTTGAATGATATGACTCCCCCCATCAACCCCCCGGCCGAGATCGAGGACCCCGATGACCACAAACCAGAGGACTGGGATGAGAGACCCAAGATCCAGGACCCAGATTCCGTCAAACCCGAGGACTGGTGAGGCAGAGAGAGTCTTTATGTCTGTATGTGTTGTCCTGGGGTTCAGAATCGTCACTTTTTGTCCGTATCCTTATTATTTGATGTGTTTGTAACTCAGGGATGAAGATGCTCCTGCTAAGATTCCTGATGAAGATGCTGTGAAACCTGACGGCTGGTTGGACGATGAGCCAGAGTACATCGGTGACCCCGATGCCCTTAAGCCAGACGACTGGTGAGGCTTTCTCCATTACATTAAAAGTCTTCAGAAAATTGTTAACTTCATAAATATTTTTGGTCTTACTATGCACGATTACTGAAAATTCTGAAAAAACACAATTACTGAAAAAAACTTTTTTTTCTTTCATCAAAATATAAATGTTTATGCTTGGGAGAAACCTGTATAATTAAATATAAAAGACTGAAATTAATATTAATAATTAATAATAAAAAGCCTACTTTTCACAATCCAATCATATTGTGATTTATAAAATCTCACTTTTCATTATTTCAGTTACAAAATATTATGGATATATTAAAATATATTTTATATACACATTAGATCCTACTTTACCTGCACACGTACAGACAATTGATATTTGTGACCTTGGAGCACAAGACCAGTCATAAGGGTACATTTTTTTAATTGAGTTACCCCAGCGACTTAAAACTGCTTTTGTGCTCCAGGGTCACATATACTATATAGCAAATCTCGGCTGTGTTATTGTTTCTAAGTAAATATGATAAATATATAACATCATGACGAAGCTGCTTAGAAACAGTGTGGATTGTGAAAAGCACTAGGCAATTTGAATTTGATGGAAATCTTCCCTTAGCTTTGGGGGTGTTAAAGTTTCATTTCAAACATTTATGTGAAGGCAGCATTCTTCTTCAAAGACATACATACAAATGTGCCTCATTGTAATGAATGCAGAATCACACTGGATCATGTGAAAGGCTGAGCGCTTATGAGTTGAACAGTGGTGAAGTGAGCTGGTTTTATTGAAGAAATTAGGACTCCTGGGGTGATGATCTAGATTCAATTTTTATAATTATAGCCTTAACCATGAGAACAACTGAAATAGAAATATGAGGGGCACGTTGAGTGTGAGGTGCCTTTCTTTCTTTACTGCCCTCTGCGTGCACTACATCTGTGCTCGTCTCTTTTAGGGATGAGGATATGGACGGCGCGTGGGAAGCACCTCAGATCCCCAATCCCGTCTGTGAAACGGCCCCCGGCTGCGGCCCATGGGAGAGACCAGTGATCGACAACCCCAACTACAAGGGCAAGTGGAAGCCACCAATGATTGACAACCCTAATTATCAGGTAATTGGCATCTTCTGCAGCTCTTTTTTGGGTGAATGTTTTCATCTTTCTTTTTTGCATTTTCCATTTTGTTTGATTTAATAAAACCAAAATCACAATAGATTGCAAATGCTTAAAAAGCTTGAGAATTTAAAGGGGCTATGAAATGGAGAAAATGGAGAAATCGTGTTGTAATAAGGACATCATTGCATCGTGTGCTCGGTAGACATGACTCTGTTCGGCTACAGTGCAGCATTGCAACATTTGATGCAGTGCAACTAGTTCTAAATATAATGCTATAATCAACACTTTTCACGATTAGTTAATCTTGGTGGCTGTTTATCAACATTATGTAATGTTAAATTAATTATTTTTCTTAATCTTTTACAGTGAAATATAACTAATATTTTTATAGTTTTTTTATATTTGTATTAAGTTATAATATATAATAAAAATATTTTTATTATATTAAAATATATTTTTAGATTATTTTATTATGGTCATATTGCTATATAATCAAAAACATTTTGCAAATTGTGCAGCACAGCAAACCTGGATTTTTTTTTTTCTTCTGTCCATTTGCAATTTTTCTCGAAAAAGCACTACATTGATCCCTAAAGTCTGAGAAACTGAATAAATAAATGTGGGGTTGGGGTTGGGGGGGGTCTTTTGCAATTTCCCAAACATGTCTGGGGGGACACATGTGGTTAGTTTATGAAAATTTTACCAAATTATCTTTAAAATACAGTATCCTGAAAAGGGGGAAATTCAGCTTTGCGTCACAGGAATAAGTGACATTTTAAAATATATTAAAATAAAAAACGGTTATTTTGAATTTTAATAGCCTATTTCGCAGTGTTACTGTTTTTACTGTATTTCTGATCAAATTTTTTTCGTGTGTTTTAGCGCTTTTTAAATCTCAGTTTTTCTCCCAAATCATGCAGCCCTGTTACTAGGGGTGTTTGTTGAGTCCAAGAGGTTTAGGAGTCATGATTTAAACAAACCCCTAACTCTGAGTGTTGAACTTAAGGGTGTGAAGACTTCTGGAAATGTCAATGTCTAATGGTTTTATTTTTCAGGGAGTGTGGAAGCCCAGGAAGATCCCTAACCCAGACTTCTTTGAGGACCTGCACCCGTTCCGTATGACTCCATTCAGCGCCGTCGGTCTGGAGCTCTGGTCCATGTCCGCTGATATCTTCTTTGACAACTTCTTCGTCACCTCTGATCGTAATGTGGCCGAGCGATGGGCGGCTGACGGGTGGGGTCTGAAGAAAGCAGCTGAGGGAGCCGCTGAGGTACGACACATCTGTATTTATCTCGCTCTTCTTCTGTACCTTTCCTTCAGTCAAGTGCTCATCAGTGAGATGAGAGCGTACAGTTAACAAAAAAGGCACATCCTCATCCAATGCATTTTGAATGCAAAAAAGCAGCAATCTGACAGTGTGCACAGGTTTTTGTAATTATACCAGGAAGTAGTGCTGGGCGTTATACCGGTTCATACCGAATACCGGTGTTTATTTTTGTTATGATATGAATTAAAATACCGCAAAAAAGTATGTCGCTTAAACAACGTTGGGAACGCGACACTGTTTGAAAGGGGTGTTGCACTGTGATGAGGGAACAGCTGTATGTGTTACTAAGCGTGAAAATTACGAAACTGAAGCTGTAGAACTAATAGAACGTGATGACACAGAAGAACTCATCCACAATATCCACATTGACCGCCACAAATATCCACCGCCCCCTGCCATCAGCTCCCGCGTCTCACACACAC